TTCCAGTCTCAACTACTTCCCGTCTAATTATGTTGGGTATTGACAAGACAGAGATTATGATACCACAAGAATGGAACTAGGGGTTGGGGCTCTTGTCGCGGTTAAATCCGTAGTTCAGTCTCACCGAAGGAAGGACTTAGAATCCTATTCAGTGTGCACCTGGTTTGAAATACCTACGAGAGATGGTTTTAACTACTTAATTGGAAATTATTATTTCCCTCCCTTCTTTGATGAGGCAAAGTTTGTAGCACATTTCGAAGCCCTCCAAACAACCATACACTCCTCTGAGTTTCGGGTTCAGGTTTATGGTGATTTTAATTTACCTGGAATTTACTGGGCAACTGGTATTGCTCCCTGTACATCAAGCGTGACTTCTAGGAAAGCGTCGTGGATAGTATCATTTGCAAACTTTGTAAATTTTTCCCAGTGTAATGAAATAGCGTATGCATATGGTAATATTCTTGACTTGTGCTTATCTAACTACCCGCTTGAGCGGACAATGCCAGCTGATAATTCACTTGTGCCAGTAACAGAATTTTCCTTTTCTGGCCCGCCATGTGCAAAAAAAAAAGTCCAGCCGCATTTTCTCATTCCCGGGGAGATTATCTTGTTTATACAGACTCCTTGAACAGTACAACTGGTTGGAAGTCTTAACTGATGAAATAGTCAACTCAGCTACTGAAGGATTAAGTTCCATTGTTAAAAGCCCACTTAATGTCTTTGTTCCGAAACGGCTCACGTGCCCCTCCCACTATTCTAGCTGGTTTTCTAGAGATTTAAAGATTTTCTCACGGAAAAAGCTGCACTATCATCGATTACATAAAAAGACAGGACTAGAGGTTTGGTATCAGAAATTCAGTATTTTTCGATGCCTGGTTAAACAACTGTATAAACAAGACAAGTGTATGCACCTTAATGGCCCTGAAAGTGGGTTGTCTAAAAACCCTCAAGAATTTTGGAGATAAAGCGGAACAACACTTTCTGGAAAAGAATTTGAACATATGCCTTAGTGGTGGTGCCGGGTACAAATCTTTAGCAGCTGAAGTAGGAAATCGTTTTGCTGACTTTTTTAGTTCTTGCTACTTGCCTCAGCAATTGAGTAATATTAATACCTTGGGTGTAGAACGTAATTACTTTTTGTGTTCTTTTCATTATCGACATTGAAGATATAATCGAAGCAATAGATCAAATGAAACCAAAAAGTTCTACGGGTATGGATGGCATACCCACTTTTGTTATCAAAGGTTGCTGTGCTACATTTGCCCTGTTCTGTGTCATATTTTCATCTTATCACTTAAAAACAAGGACTTTTCCCCGACCTCTGCAAGTTCACGTTGCTTTCTCTGTATTAAAACGAGGTGATTCTTGTTTAGCGCGTAATTATCATCCGATATCATTATTATGTGGATTTGCAAAAGTTTTTGAGAAAGTAGTTAATAAATGTGTTTATTTTTTGCCTGAACAAGGTGATATGTGATGAACAACATATTTTTTAAGAGGTAGCTCTGTAGAGTCCAATTATTGTTCGTTTTTTAAGTTACACAGCACCAATTGTTGCAGTAGAGGTCAAGTTGGCGCCATCTCCCTAGACATGTCTAAAGCATTTGTCTGCGTTAGGCACGATTTATTGTTGAGCAAGCTGGCCTTACAAGGTTTCAGCCCGCATTTGTGTAGATCAGGGGTCTCAAACACGCGGCCCGCGGGTCGCATGCGGCCCGCGACTCGCTGGGACGTGGCCCGCAAGTAACCGGCTGGGAGCGTTTGTTTCTATGTCTTGAGTGCCAGGAATTGCCTGTGCCATAATGATCTAATGTCACCGATTGAGTAATGGTACATACGTAGCTCTGCTTTTAAATTGTTATATTTTTTTGTTCTAACTTTTACTCCCCAGTTTTTTGTCAATTCAGCTGCAAGAACTCTCGCCCAGCAGCAGCGATTGCCGAAGATAAAGCTATGAGCTTAGAATTCTCGCCTTCAAACACACTACCATAAAAAAATACAAGAATTTTATCATACTGCTTCTATAAAAATCGCCAGAAAAGCAATACCTGTCGTATAATGAAATCTTGAGTTTTAATAATTCCCGATGAATTTAGCAACGGGAACTACAGTGTGCGCACTATTTTGTTCTCTAAAAAGTTGCAGCATGGTGGCGACGCAGAGTCCTTTTAATTCTTGTTATCACATCAGGTAAGAGCTTAAAGTAGCCCCTAAAACGAATCAAACCTACAGATGTGAACAGCAGGACCGTAAAATTCCCTCTCCATATTACCTGTCTGGCGTATTAGTTCCTCCAGTCGCCTCTAACAGGGACCCTGGAGTCCATATTGACAGCTCACTTTCTTTCAACCATGATGTCTTTCTATAGTAAATGCAGCGTTGAGGACGTTAGGAATGATTTCAAGAATTTGTTGTCGATTTTCAGCTCCCTGTTGCTTTCTACTCTTATTTAAGTCTCTTCTAGTTCGATTGCGACTGGAATTTGCCGCAGTCATTTGGAATTCATTGACTGTCGCAAGAGCTAGCTATTGCAAATGTGCAAAAACGAATGGAAAGATTTTATATGACGGCTATATTGGAAGGATATATTTTTATCACTACGAAACATTGCTTTGTAAATTTTCGCTACATAAATTGTCCGTGAGAAGGCAGTACAGAGATTTTCTGTTCTTTTACAATGTTGTTGATGGCAGGGTAAATTTAGCGGCTTCATTACAAACTATTGAGTTTCATGTTCCCTCTCGCCCAAGCCGAAACATTCCAACTTTTCATCCATCTCGCTTGTCCGCTGTGATCCCATTGTCAAGGACACAATTTGGTTATGATTTTCAAAAATTTAACCTCGACATGTTTTCATCCACTTATCAGTTCATGTTAAATTTACGTGTCTGGATGTCTGCGAAATAATCAATAATCAATTTCTGCAATATGATAACGTCGCATGACTTTTATTGATTTAACTTTGCTGTTTCCTGTATTTTTAGGTTTTACTTGATGTATGTTTAGGGCACCACACTGTAAACCAAGAGGTTGTTTGTGGGCACGAGAAAAATAAAGCAATTTATGATTATTATTTATTACTCATCATTGTTATCGTCTGAAACCAAAGCGGAAAGGCGATCTCGGCACATTCTTGAAAACAATAATGACTCTATCTAGATTATTTGTTTCTGAAACATAATGTAGATTTAGATACTACTACGGCGCGAGAGACAATTTTAGTATTTTACTACCATCATTCTACACGTAAATCATCTCTTTAACTAATGAGAGCGGTGCTTAGTCTTGTGAGCATCGGGCGGGGCCTAGAACAAGGCTACCCCCATAAGGTTATTATAATGTACGCCAGAGGTTCAACTGGCGCTAGTGTGCTGCTGCAAATTGAAGCAGACAACAATCAGTCGAAAATTGACTTCCGGTAATGCTTTTCTACGGGAAAAAGCGAGTGCGTTTGCTCTCTGCACTCGATTATAAGAGGCACATTGGAACATTTCTCACTCTACTAGGCACATTGAAACATTTCTCAGTCACGCAAACGAAATAATTGGTCACTTACGGCTTTTTTATTTGAAATTTGTGGCATGAAAAACGGTGCTAAAAACCGCTTCGTACATGTATTTATGTGCACTGTCGGACACTGTTGGCGCGAACACGACGTCGGCGCTTTCCAGCATGGGAGATATAAGTGCCAAACGAACGAAAGACATCTGGCACATGTGGAAAAACAAGAGAAACCGCAGGAACTACGCAGTAACACTGGATAAGTAACTCCTTGTGCATGCACACGATCAAAATAAATTGAAAGCCAATAACTATTTTTTTTCTTTCTGCTCATAAACATGTGCGAAAATGCTGGTTCTGGTGTCAAATCATCACCCGCACGCTCCAAATCTTTGCAAATAGGGAGAAGCCAGAGAACAGGTGCCCGACATATGAAATAATAAGAAGACACACCTTTCGCAACATACGTACTCTTTTTTTACGTTCGAATGTATTTTTAACAGATCGTAAAGATCCACGACGGAGTAATTTTCATATATATGACACGACGGGCATATTAGCAACATATAAACGCCACCGGAAGGCTAGTGAACCTTGAAAACGCTCTATATTCCTTTCGATCATTATTTTGGTTAGAATCGTGACTCGTTTTTACATACCTGCCTTATGGGACGGAGGTTTGGGCCTGAAATATAGCGAAGTTTAACATCGTTCCGTGGTAAATAAAAATGCTGCAACTAAAACAATTACACTTTCTCAATATTGATAAAGATCAATACTATCCGGTACAACTGAAATAACAAAAGTTATTCATGTTATTTTCCGGCGAAGAGACAAAATGCACGCGCGCTTTCCATTAAAAATGCACACGAACAACAGAAAAGTAGGCTGGTTGCTCTCTGCTTCAATTTGCCTCCCGGAAGTCGCATAGACACTAGCGCCAGTTGAACCTTCAGCGTACATTATAATAACTCTATGGCTACCCCCGCCGCCACCCTAAATTGCGCCTAACGGCAAAATTATTGCTAAAAATATTTTTTTTGGTGACGCGTGTGCAACAAAATATATTAGACCTATTAAAAATATTTTTTTATAACTTGAGTGTCCCTTTGAAGATTTTCGGCAATGAGAAGGGATAATGCCACGCTTTAATGGTAAAGCACATTCAGTGGCAAAAAAAAGGGATGCTTTCTTTGCCACTGATAGTGCACAACCGCTGCAGCATGAGTACAATAGACGTTCTCATTCACTAAACTGTGAGAACAAAGCCTAAAGTCTTCTGTTCCAGGTGTATTGCGGGCTGTGCTCGTGAATTAGTGGTTTGAAGGGGTAGCTTCTGCGAAGAGCGATGCACCTCAGACTAGTATACGGGTTCGAACCTTCTCCCCCCCCCCCCCCCCCCCCCCCTCCCCCTTCTAAAATCATAGAAGAATCGCGTAACATAACGAAATCTGTTCTGCACTGTTCTGATTGATTGATTGGATTTATTTTGTGGGCCAACTTCTTATAAATATGTGTTCTTGCAAACCAAAAGAAAAACCATGGTGGCTATTCCAAGAATATAATTAAAAATAAGATATGGTCTGATAAGTTCATAATTTCGACTACAGAAGGAGGTGTACGCACGCGTGATACGTTTTCAAAACACAAAGCTGGGAGATTTCCTTTCAATTTCGTGCTATATATTAGGCTGGCGTTTTGCAGATGTGTTCCAGCCTGCAGAAACGGCTTCCTCACGCGAGGCTGCCAGCGCAGTGTGACATCCCGTGAACGATGAGCTCAATGAGGAGAAAAACGCAGGCCATGGCGATCAAATAGCCACAGAGCACAAAGACAGCGCGCATGTCTTGCACGGTGAGTGGCTGGAAGGCGTCGCTCCGGTCTTGCTTGGACGTGTCAAGGAAGCAGGTGGATCCCTTAGGGTAGAGGTCTTGGTCTCGCATGAACGGCACGGCGGACTCGGAGAGCCACAAGATCCTCGAAAAAAAAAATACAGTCATGTGAGCAGAATCAATGATCGTGATTTCTTATGATCACTGACATCTCAAGAAACGCAGGGCGTCGCGAGTCTCGAGCACCTTATGATAACTCCACAGCCAATGATATTGTGGCAAGAAACGCGAACATAATAGCCAGTGCCCTGTGTTTCCAAAGCCCCAGTGACTACAGCAACCGAGAACACCCATCCAGCGAGTGGGCTTCGACGGTGATATTAAAAATATTCATGTGTCGAATGTCAACCTTGAAAACATCGCAATAATTGGTATCCTTCAGGGGTGTGCGAAAAAGGCTTCGAATCAAACAGCACAACGCCTCACAACGCCACAGAAAAAGTAGCTGGTACGCCGTGGGTCTTCCTACGCTGCGAAAGTTAGCAATGACGCGCCGCCACGATTCAAATCAGTGTTTGTATTCCCCTAAACTATGGTGCCGGGAGGGGCTTCTCCGACTGGTTTGCTTAGCGTCCTATCCCGCCCAGACACAAAAACATGCCGTCCCAAAGTGGCGAAAAACGACGCCACAAAAGCCGTGGCGTGACGCTATCGGATGTCGAGATCCTGGCGGTTGGTTGTAGAAATCCTGGTGCAAAGCGCGAGCGAACGCGAATGGCGCTGTCGTCCCACGGGGTCCGAACTCCTAGATGCCGAAACCTCCGTGGACTGTCAAAACTAGGAAACCACCTTCAGCAAAACAGGCGTCTACCACACGCACGCACCGTTTCGTAAGCTTTGATTGGCTATATTAATATTGTATTTTGTATAGCTGATGAAAACGGTGGACCACGTTGCGTCTCATTAGAGAACATCGACGGCAAAAGGGCGTCACGCCTTTTACTGTTCGAACTGCTTGACCAATCTTCTCCCTCTCGCTGGATGAAATACCTTAAGAATGTCTGATGTTCAGAGTACATCCTGGAACATCACCTTTCCCATTCTGTCGGTCACTGTAATCGTTTCTGCGCACAAAACATCCGTGAGCTGGGTGGACGTATTACTCATTTCAATTAAATCGATTCTTCCGGTGGGCAATGTTTTGCGACTATAATGACATAAATGTGGTGTTATTCTATGCACTTACGACCGTCTTTCCTTTACATGTTTTTTTTTTTAAGCAGTTGAAGAGAAGAGAAGAATCGTTCATTTACAAAGACGGAGATACACCTGCATTATCTAATTTCCTACTTCGTGAAAATATAATATAGGGGATTAAAGGAAACGAAACCCGAAGGAGAAGAGCAAGAGTCACACGGTTATTGCGTTAAGACCATTTTGAAGAAATTAGCATTATATAGCAACATAATTAATCGCCGCTTTTTGGCCTTATGTCCCTTCTCAAAAGTTGGCCAAGGCCCAAGAAGACTGTGCAGATGTATTTCTTAATATGTTCTGAGACCCCCTTTGCACCATTTTCCGCATTAGTATACTTAAGTGTTGGCGGTATTCAAAATCAATCAATGAATTACACTCCATATAGCAAAACGTGTACTCTAGCAAATACCTATCATGCACTGCTTCAAAGATCGTCAATTTCCAACCTTTTGTTTATCGCCTTCACGAGGTCGGGGTCTATCCGCTTCCGGTAGTACCAGACGGAGCGCAGGTTGGTGATGGATTGTGTCCCCACGTGGAAGAAGCCGTCCAGAACCGGGCAGAACAGGGACGACTGGACGCGTCCTGCTATCATGTCTGTGGCTATGACGGCTTTGCGCTGCTGCACCATCTGCAGCGACTTGGCGGTGAAGACCTCCCGGACCGGAATGGCGCCACCCATTGCATCCATACGTTCCCACAGCCTCCGCACGGACTCTGAGCTCGAAATCTGGAGACAACGGAAAGCGAGTCGTGTAGTTGAAGGATGTTGAAGACTACCCACGCGGTGGCCTTGGATTTGACCACGTTCCATGTTGCGCGTTGCTTGAAACCCGTTACTTTTTTGATAAAAAAAAAAAACAACACACACACACAGTGTCAAGAAAAAAAAAACCATGACGGAACGTAGTCGAAGCCGCCTTTCATTTAACGCAATTGGATACCAGCTGAAGCAGAATTGGAAATAATCTCTGCTTTTTTTATTAGGTTGCAATGGAAAGTTTAAGAACTCTGTTGGAACCAAAATCCACATTAAAAATATCGTTTTGCAATCCGCACGTATGTTCTTAAAAAAACTATATGCTGATTGAAAAACTTTTTTTAATGTGATTTTTGGTTTTAGGGTTTTTTGTTCCCTCTGAACCTTCATCTTTAATGGTTAAAAAAATAGGGTCCTAATATAAACTCGTGCTCGTTGCTGCTGAATCGCGTGCAGGCAGCGAGGTTCAGCAAACGTGCGACTTGCATTCCACATCGTCGAAATTGACCCCGTAAGTGATGGCGTCACCACACGGTGCTGTGCTCCAAACAAATCGTTGTTAGGGCCGCTGTCACGAACAAATGCACGGGGCGTCGACGTGAGGTTAAGGATTGTCTGATAAAAAATTGAATATTTTTTGTAAGCTATTTGTCAACTGAATATCTAATCACAATGAGTTTTTGTATCGTCTCAGTGCCATACAGCGATGATAAACGCCCTACTTAAGTTGAACAACCGGTTTTGTCTTGCTCCCATGACATGATAGCTTCGCGGGCTCAGTGTTTTCTTTTTTTTTCCTGAGAAAGTAGGCGATTGCGTTAAATGAAGCTGGTGACGAGCGAGGAAACTTCTATTCTCGGGGTCAACTCTATGTGGGATTTTAGAAGCGAAGAATGCCCGTGCACAGCTTTGATCGACGTTCGAGGTGCACGAGCGCGCGAACGCCAGCACGTGGAGGCGTCCGCAATATTTGAGAAAGGTGAAAGCACTGTGAAGCCGAATCACCCATGACTACGACGCGTAGGTACCAACTTCGAAGTGCAGGTCAGCATACGTTTTAAGGAGTTCTAACGGCACAACAGTTTCTTCAGTTCACATTTGTGTGATCAAACGAAATGTCCGCTGTTTTTATCTACCTCTGGCTATTTGGGGTGTTAACAAAAATAATAATAATAAAAGAGTTTCTTTTTTTTTTTTTTTAGTTTTATGGTCACAAGCAGGTATGAAACGCACACACCTGTATTGCGAGCCAGGAAAATAAGGTGTGGGGCCTTGAATCGATTGTGTTAGAGTCAAAATATTTGCCTCTTTATTTCGATCCACGTTAACTGTAAAATAAAAAGTCCTCACGCCGCTTTCATAACATGTTCTAAAATGCTTTTCCTGCTGCATTTTTAGAAGATGTATATACCTGTTATAATTTTCGACAGAGAGTATCGCGTATTGTACACAAATACATTCATTTTTATAATCCTGCTGAGCTTTCTTAGACCTGCCATGCTTCCAATAAATACAAGATCAACATACATATATACATATATATAATAGAATTATGCAAACAATTCAAGCTCTTGTAGACAGCATAGTTTTGTCGTTCCATATGCGTCCGCCGCATCCAGTAGGCATCTCGAAACGACTCGAGGACCGGAAGTTGCCGTCGTAAATATTACAGAAATAAGCGATTCTCTGAAAAGTTCTGAGGGGGTTAGTGCCGAATGTATAGGCTTCCTATATCTACTGGATTAAGATGTTAAAATTTCAAATACGAGTTTTGAACGATGCCTCCTTAGGAGTGAAATCGAGTCCCATGTATTCATGCGCAGCAACGCCACTACAAACACTCTAATGGCGCGTTCACACTGGAAGCAGATCCGCAAACGCGAAGCAGATCCGCGCGTTCTCAACCGCAAAGCGGCTAGGATCGAGCGGTTGGAGCGCGTTTTCGCCAACCGCTCCGGGACCGATTTCTCCCAACCGCTTTCACGAACCGCAAAGCGGCAACCAATCACAACGCGACGCTGACGTGACGTCAGTGACTTTCGAAACAAGATGGCACCTGTCGCTGGTGAGGCGTCCACGGCGCTGTAGTCCTAGCGTTACAGCAGACATATCAACAGAGAAACGTGATGCTCATGTCCGTCACTTGAATCCGCCCCGAAAAGAATTGACTCGTAATTTTAACGGACTTCGCACCGGTGATTTGATTCGGGAAGGAGTTTGTTTATTATTCCAGGTGCCACACCCCGAAGCTCGCCGCCTTGTTAGCCTCTGCCCGTAGAACGTCGGAACCGCCCCTGATCGACCGAAATGTCAGCTTCTCTACCCACCAAGATAGTCGCGTGAACTATTGAAAGCTTTCCACATCGTGCATGACCACAACGAAGGCCGATAGAGACGTTGTGAGAGTGATTGCGTAGCCAACGTACTACCGCGGAACGGACAGGGTACCTGCGCTAGCTCGACCCGTAACGTTTAGTACTAACAGCAGAAATAAAGGGAGCATACTCAAGAAATAAAGTGTGCGTACCAGACTATGCAGAGGTAATCCATACGGCGTTTATTTGAGCTGAATGCCAAACAAACAAACAGTAGACTCGATCGACGTGCGACTGACGAGAGGAGAGTCCGCCACCAACGAAGCCACGAGTCACGACCGGCTAGCTCCGAAGACATTCCCCCGCACCACGGTTCAACCCACCGCTCCCAACTTCGAAAATAATAAAAGCGAACGAGGGGGGGGGGGGGGGGGGGGGACTGGCCTTTTATCCGGAAAACGAGGTCAGCTATTCATTCGGAAAAAGTCCACTTCAAAAAAAAAAAAAAAGAAGAAAAAAAAAAAAAAAAGGTCGTGGGCATTCTGTTGTGAGTCAGAAGGCACGCCTAGCTGGGGCTTTGCTTGTGGGCGAAGTCGAGGGAATCACAGGCGAGTTTGGCGTGTCCATGCTTCTTTTTCGCTGCCTGAACTTGTGACGCGTGCGAACTGCGAACATCCAAAAGAAAAATCTTCACAGTGCCGAAATAGGAAAATTTTGGCTTTGGATCGCGCATTAAAGTGAATTTTGAATTTTGAAACAGGGTTGCTAAACGCAAGTCGAAAAAGATCATACGTGATCACCGAGAAACCGCCAACCGCCTCTCCCCAAACGCCAACCGCCTCTCGGTGTGTCTGAACGGCGTCGCTTGCGAACCGCATCCGCAACCGCTTCGCGGTTGGAGATGCGGTTCGCAAGCGTGTGAATGCGCCATAAGAAATGCTTGCGCGTCTCTTACCCCTAAGGCACTCGAAAAGCGAATCTCTGCGATCTACGAAATCAGCTCAGCGAATGACGAGGCGGAACATCTGCTTAGACCTCAAAATGATGTCCGCGCTGTGACAATACGCAATTCAAGATCGACGCTTTGCACTGCGCAACGCCAAATCACGGACTTCATTTTTAGGTATAAACGGACGTTGCACATCATTCTCTGGACTGATTTCGTAGATCGCAGAGATAGGCTCTTCGAGTGTTTTGCGGGTATGTGGACGCGCAGGTATTTCTTCGAGTGAACGGTGTGGTTGTAGCAGTGACGTCACACTTACGTTGTCAATTGCCACTAAAGACAGACGCAAACAAAAACTTGTTCTGGACACGTGCTGTGAGAAACCGGCTCGAATTCAGCGAAAATGATTATCACCTAGGGCAGTACTGAGGACGTCATCCGCGTTTTAAAAACTGATTGAAAAATTGATTGGTCAATTTAATGTAAAGAAGTGAATTTATTACTGCTGTAATTAAACTTAATTATATGCAGACCGTGGTATCTCGCACGGCTACACTCTGAATCTGTTTCATCTTATGTAACTCACACGCGTATTTCTATAATCAACGAAAGCAGCAATTTAAATTTATCATACTTATTGTAAGCGCTGCCAATGATAAGAGGTTTCATGGGCAACTAATTCTTGACTTATACATTCTTACTCGTGTTTTCGGGCGTTTACCTCAGCCGGCAGCAGAAAAGAGTGAGAGACTACAATAGGGCGCCCTAATGTTTGAAGACCAGTGACTTCACTGCGTTTCCATAGGAGTTAAGCCTTTTTCTTTTTTTAGGTACGAAGCTCCTTAGGGTCTAGCCTTGTCCGTCCGTCCGTCCGTCCGTCCGTCCGTCCGTCCGTCCGCCCGTCCGTCCGTCCATCCGTCCGGCCGCGCGTCCGTGCTCTCATAAAAAGAAAAAGAAAATGTTTGCGCAGTCGACAGGATTCGAACCTGTGCAGAGAGACCCCAATGGATTTCTAGTCCATCGCCTTAACCACTCGGCCACGACTGCGGGACGAGTAGGGGGCTCTGAGATGTGGTAGTAACTCAAGAGCTGGGGTTTCTGTCATGGATGGAACGTTGCATGTAGCCGCGCAATGTCTATAGACCAACACGCTGTTTACAAACAAGTCCGCATTTGCCCACACCAGGTGTGGGCACTGCGTGTGCGCAGAAACCGAATTCGCGTAAAGTGAAGCGTCTACGCATGCGCAGTGTCGTTGACAGCACCACCGCAGCTGAGTGACGTCAGGGCCGCGTGTTGGCCTATACAGGAGAGGGCGCTGCGGTCAAATGCGTATAAATCGCGTTAAACTTTGCATGCATTGGCTCCACGTTTATATACGAGAGGGCGCTGCGGTCAAAGGCTCGAATGCGTTATGTTTCCACCACCATGCCTTGGCCCTCAAAAGTTAACTGGCAGGATTCTCAAATAAAAAAATTAAAAAATACCCACGTTCCATACCACACATTCACTTTCTGACATGGACCGTTGACTTAAGCGTGGAGATGCGTTCCCACGGCTTCTAGCGGATCTAAGCTGATCCGCTAGAACCACTGGCTCTGCATTTCACCGACCATAAAGCAGTAATAATGAAGTCGAAACGCAACCCGGAACTCAGCACTAACTATGAGCAATAAAAAAAATCAGCACCATCAGTATCATCAGCACCACCAGAGCTTCGCCCCAATCAACATCATTCACCACGTGGAGGTGCGGTCATTTTTTTTTACCTTTTCCTCACGTAAGTTCGCTCTTGGCAAATTTTATAGAAAAAATGCACCACCTCTGGGCAACGCTGCAGAAAATCGTAGCACGACAGGTTAAGGAATCTAGTTTTGCGGTTGACTTAAAGAGTATGGCCACTACCTGAGACACCAAGTACCATGTACAACGCGCTTAAAAAGAGCAATAATAATGCCGTTCAGAATCTTTTTGCAATTCACTATTTTCATTGGCCAAAGTTTATGGAGGCGGTGGTAACCGGGGATGCTCGCAATCCCAAGAGAAAATGGCGCTCGTCTATTTCTTTTGCTACGAGTTCACTATGGGTCGTCTTGTCATCTAGAACTGGTCATTTTTATTCATTAAAACCTAACAAACATTATATCATAAAAAACAAGCCTCTACAAAAAGTACTTGAGTACCCCTTCAGGTTTGCCACCCCATAAGACCCAATGTATTAGAATTCATAGTGCTGTCCAAAGTTGAATACGGTTCATTCACTTTGTCCCCGTGTCAAATGTACATAAGATGTGATTTGAAAAAAAAGGTCAGAACAGAGGACTTAGACTAATTTCTTTCGGAGTATTTCCTTCGTACCAGCATCACGAGGTGGCGGGAGCATGGAAATACCGTGGAATTAACAGTTGGGCGTAGATATCCCGGCCAACTTAGATATCTAAAATTTACCACCGAAACCCGGCACTTAAAAAACATTTTCCTCCTACCGGTTGCATTCATTTTCAAGATTAGACAACCCATGTAAAGTTGAACCTCTCTATGAATTGACCATTTCACGTGCCGACTCATCGATATTTCTGATGACATCGGCGTGAAATGGCTTACTAGACTCCATGGTCACTTCCCTAAACGCCGAACATTTCAAAGAGAATCTTTTCCCATTCTTTTAAAGAGGTCCTGTCCCCATTCTTTCCGTCGTCTCCGGTCTTAACGATGTGCAAGATTCTAACTGCCTACTTAACATCGGTCTCACTCTTCTGATATTTATACTATCCTATTTTTCGAGCAGTTGTTTGGTACATGAATTGACACCTGTATTTGTTATGGAAGAGCATTAAATATAGTACTTGTTAACTTGTGTTTTACTGAATATTTGAATTTGTATTTGTACTTTTATTGACGTGTGGATTTTTCTAATAAACTGACTTTGTATATTTTTGTGAATATTTGTATTGTATTTTTCATTGTACTAAAATACTTATACCCTGTGTCGCCCATCCCTTGTGTAATCCCCTTTCGAGGGCGCTGAACATAGAATAAAATATATATATATATATATATATATATATATATATATATATATATATATATATATATATATATATATATATATATATATATATATATATATATATATATATATATATATATATATATATATATATATATATATATATATATATATATATATATACACAGACGAATGAATAATTAAATAAATAAATAAGCTGCCAAAAACGTGGCCCCTGCCGCACGATACTCAGCGGTACCTGAAGCGCCGTGGTGAGCGGCGAGTTCTTCATGATGAGAGGCAGTAACTTGGGGTTTCGGAGGACGTCTTCGACCGTGTTGATGCGCTCTGTGTCCGACTTGACCAGGAGGTTGGCCTTCACCTCCCCGTTAAACAGGTTAATGAGTATGAGGCAGGCGATCAGCCACACGGCCAGCAGGATGCGATTGGCCTGTGGCACGAACTGGACCTTCGTGGCTGCAATTGAGGGAGGAAAGAGACCCTTTTCAAAACGACATCAAAACAACATTGAATGTCGCCGTTACTTGGGCACGAAGCCTGTGCTTGAACCCGAACTTTCGCCGAAAGCTGACGCGACACTCGTGTTCAATTCACTGGTGTTTGCTTACCACTATTCATTGAAGCGGAACAAAGGGCGTTTGCAGTGAACTATGCTTTCGACTGCGGAGAGATTTGAAACGGGTGCATCACGCTTGTGGGAGGAGTTTCTCCTACCTTCTTGGACTTGTAACCAAGTACAGAGTTGCGGCGACGACCCCAGCGACCGTTCTGTACAGGTAATGCTCTCCACGGTTTGAGTTGGTTCCTCTCAAATCTAGGCTACAAAAATATCCACCAACCGCCCCCCCCCCCCTTCTTAAAACGTTTTCTTTTCTTCTTTTTGAGGAGCGCGTAAAATGATAATTTTAATTGAACAATCTGTCTCTAGATGGCTTTACTCACCCATCAGGGAAGTTCAAGTGTTACCTTAATTTGAAAGGCATTTTTATTGGCCATGTCAAACAAACAGAGACAGGGAGCAGGCGGGTCCGTCAGTGACAGCGAGGTCTTCACGGATTGCACGAAAAGACTCAGGTGGAGTGGCGTGAAGGTACCGGAGTTGCCGACACAATGGGGAAAAAAAATAAGATGCGATTGTGGAGCGTCATCTCAAGTCCAGCATGATACATGCGATCGTTTGAGCCTTCCACTTACCATTTGACACATGCTTATCAATTTACAGAGGATATGACAACTGCCTTACGCAAACGCATACGTGTTTGCGTGCTCAATCCTTTCGATGAGTCAGTGCATTACTTTAAATGCAAATATATTGATTTTTATTTTGATAACGTCGTCGTATCTGCGTACACATTTGAACAGCTTAGCCAGCTTCGAGGGTGACGGAGAAATTATGCCATTTATGTAGTTGATAACGATAGGAGAAAAGGGGGTCGTGGCACATGGGATCGGCGGCATTGAACAACAAACGTAATACATTTTTTTTGTTCGTCTAGAGTGTCATTCAGCGGCACCTACCGAGACCTTAGAAACCAAACACAAAAACGTATCTGAAAATGAAACTTCCAGAAAGCCTCAAACTAAGTGCTGCCCTGTTTTCGCGGGGAAGTCGGGTATCACTCAAAAATTTCTAGGATTTTTTTTTCTTTTTTTTTTCAAGCTTGTTTACGTTGTACGAAGCTTATAGGGGTAAACTGCCACCCGTAGCGCTCGGAATACCAAATATCTATTTTGCTTTAGTGAGTTTAGCCAAAGCAAGTGATGAACGATAACGTTGGCCTCTATCGTCGTGCAGTTTCATCGACAAAACTGGCGCACGCTCTTTTATCAAGCTATTATTACGTGGTCATATTACCACTCTCCATTTTTATCGGCTAGAGCCTCTTAACTTCAAGCAATTATTAGATGTTTGAAGTAAATCGCCAGGACGCTGAATGATCTGTGTGAGCGTAGCTGCTCTGAAGGCCATTGCAATTGTTTTGTTAAGTACCTGGTGTTACTTTCGAAACATACATATCTAAATTGCATAGCCAGTATTAACGAGCCTTGCCCTCTGACAGTGCATAATTTCGGTTATATGTTTTTGATACTTGAATGAATTGGGATTTCCGTTACTCCATTTGTTATCTGCTTATGTGTTGTTTTTCTTTTTAAACTTGTCTGTGTTCGATGTTGCTTTGGCGCGCACAGCAGCGTACGCTCTTGTCAATTTTAGCAGTGCGAAGATATTATACTTCACAATGTTGGTTTTGTTGTGTATTCAGCGTGATTTACCAAAATAGTGTGCTCTTCTCTTTCGTGAAGTGTAGTCTTCAAAATGTGCCTTCATATGTATTACCTAGTGTTCTATTTTGTGCACTGTTGCACTCCTGCAACAGCCCCAACGGGCTAACAGTATGTATAAATAAATAAATAAAAAAATATATATAAACAGAACCAACCACGAAAACAAGGATGAGAAATTCACGTATGTCGTTTGCCGATGGCTTACCTTCAAAGAAAAGTACTTCAATGTATGCGTACAAGTACTTGGACGTGTCGTAAAAAAGACTCGTTTTTCTCTGCCTCCCAGCAATCCGGTAAAAAGCCGTAGAGAGCATGATGAGTACCGTCAGGGAGATCAGGAACAGGATCCAGGACTGTCGTCCCAGTGGTCGTTTGGACGCGGCACCCCGAAAAGCGTGAGACATCAGTGAGGCAAAGCTGTTCCGCACTCTTAAAGAGCTATTAACGGTGATGCATCAAAGTGGATCTTGAGTTTGTCTTTTTACGGCATAAACTCAATCAACATGCCTAAGGCATAACAGAAAACCAAGATATAGAACCATGCGAGGCTTTCGTTTTTTTTTTAAAAACACGACCAACCATCACGGCAAGCCCCCCTTTTTTGAAATAGATGATATATTTCAGAAAAAGGAAGTGTCGGGTTGATTGGCTGTGCTTTAGAAGGAAAGAAAGTCAAACATGATTGTAATGTTAGGAGTTTGAAGACGCTTGGATACAGCTTGAGTAGGAGTCTTAAGAAGACGACCTCAAAATGCACTTTAGTGCCCATAAAGGTCCATTCACACAAGAGCGTATGCTTACGCTTCTGACGACGGGGGATCAAACTGGCACACGCGTGCCATCTGTCAGGGAGCCGTAGAACGTTCCGGATCTCTATATAGCTTATATGAAAAGTTTTTCAGCATTTGTGAGATGAAATTTAAGCAATATCTACGAAGAATTTTCCTTTGTAACGTTGTCAGAATTATTTAGAGCACACGGTGAAATAATAACCCGGAAACCATTAGGAAACATACGCATATCAAAAGTATTCCTGGTATGCAAAATGGATAGCGCCAGCATTTGTCCTCTCATCGTAAGCGGTGAAAGGCGGTGCAAAGCTCTTGGTCACAGTCAAACGCAAGTCCGTGGAGCAGCCTCTGCAAGCTCTTGCAAGTATATAGTTCTGCGATGCTCTCCAGGCAACCACTACTCGGTTTTACATAATCGGCTCAACCCAAAAGAGAAGGGGTCGGTATTAGGTTCCAATGATAAATGAGCTCTGTAGGCAAACGTAAGTTCACCCGTCCTTGCGGTAATACTAAATTACCACTGCAGAATAGAACGGGTTAATTTTTTATTGTTTGAACTGATTAAAGAAAGAAATTATTAGGGTACTGAATGCATCGCGGGCTGTATGCACAAGGGGGATGTTGAAAATGTATGAAACGTTTTCTTATAGAAGCTTTGCGAACGTCATTAAAGGGGCCTGAAACGAATTTTGGCTGGGATAAATGAATTTAAATTGGGATTTTACTAATAGCATACCGTTTAGTGGGTTAAAAAAAAACAAGGTAGAAAGACAAAAAAAAAAAATTCGGTACGAAAATTTGAAAACACAGCGGACTATTTCGTACCTCCTTCCCTTCGAAAGGTCTCTGCCTTTTCACTGTGATAGATCCGCAGTACCCAAGCCTGTCACCCGGCGCAAACGCACGTCACACGGCACCGTAGATCACTTATTCCCCTCACCCCAGTGCTTACAGTGTGGTGGAAGCTATGCGCTTGTGCTGGACCAATCAGCAGCCTCCCTTTCATCGCCGGACCTCGGCCTCTCCGCGTGGGTATGGGCGAGGGTGCCTAATTACGTGGAAAAAGCGTTGCTGGCCCAACGAGCACGTAGCTTCCACAGCATTGGCTACGTTTACATGGATGCGACTGCAGCGCATCGGATCCAGTTAACGAATCGAATCGGTCCATGTAAACAACTCGGATCGGATCGGATCGGATCGAAGTTCGATCCGATCCGCCGGGAAGGGGTGGTTTGAGATGGTCAATCCGAATCGAGACTCTCCATGTATACGCTGGCGGATCCAATCGAGTGCTCGAGCGAGGGATCACGGGAGCTTTGCTTCGCCTGCCGCTAGGCAAACCGGACACCTCGGAAACAATCCGAAGGTCGCGAGGTTTGCGTTGTGATCCTTCGACACGAGGTGCCGCTGCTGGTCGATCCGAATCCATGTAAACTTAGTGGTTAAAGTGGATCCGATTCGCTAACTGGATCCGATGCGCTGCTGTCGCATCCATGTAAAAGTAGCCACTGTCAACTTCGGGGTGAACGCGGTGGGGGAAGCAACTTTTGTCCGAGTTTTGAGCGACGGGCTAATCTGTTGGGAGGAGAGTTGCGGTGGGGTCTGGGTACACAAACGAGGGTCCGAGCAAGAGGGGAGTCCCTCCTTCTCGTATTCTGCAACTGTTTGGTACAATGCGCGATATCTGAGTTGAGAAGGAAAGCTAAGAAGGGAAAAGTTAAAAAAAAAATCATTTCATGGCCCCTTTAAGGACCTCCTTAATTATGGCAATTGATGTGATAATAATTACCTGTGAACAGCAGATTAATTCTAAACATCATGCTTATAGTTGTGAACATATTATTTTACCCGCTTTTGGTCATACACATAGTCGGCATATACTCAATTTACGGGAACCGGCACATCAGCTAGCGATCCAAACTGTTCGCGTGTCTGACGGCGTGCGCTGTTTCGCCGATACTTCAAGGAGTTTGCTCTAAAGGCCCTTTAAGTGCACTTGAAACTAGAGTATTTAAATTCCCTTACCCGAAACCTGCCCGACAAGCTTTCTGCCGACCACGTTTCTTCATAATAGATACCATCTAAAACTTGACAGCGCTTGATCGAGGTCAGCGCACTCAACAGGGGAGAAAGATGTGGTTTATTCAATGCCACCGGAGAATCCCAAAGTATCTTTGTGTTCCAAGTAAACTGCAACAAGGAGGTACGGCTGCCTAAAAACTGAACATATATTCTGCAGGCTCAAATATACACGCACAAAATCGTTTTCACGGATTTGTCGTTGGAAACGTCTACTTCTCTCGCAGGTTGTTTCATTATACAACATGGTGAACATACATTACCACAGTATATGGCTCTCCAATCTTATTGGATAAGAGGACTAAAGGACAACTTACTGGCGTCCAGAGTCTACCATGAATTAGCATAAATGCAGAAACGTCTGCAAAGACTGGTCGCACGAACACGTTTTTCTCTAGAACTACTGAAATCGTTAATTTTGGTGATAACATTGTGGAATTACATTAAATGTAAAACATAGTAAATACATTTCGTTTTATCGACGCGGAGACTATGAATAAACAAAAATATTATATACTTGAACGTTTAGAAAATTCTAAATATCTAACAGTTAACTTTTTTATTTGTTTTGTTCCGTCATTACCAACGCGCTCACTAACAAGCACATTTTTTATCAAATTTGAAATGGAACGATGAAGTAGATGTAGCGAAGCGGTGTAGCGAAGGCGAGTAAAATGTTGCATTTTATACGGAGGAGTTTTAAAACTACATCCCGCAGTGTGAAAAAAAAAAAGAAGCATTGTATTTTGTTTTTTAATCGGATCAATTTTAGAGTTCCATTATGCGATTTGTGACCTAAGTTAGAGTGAATTCAAAATATAGCGCTAAGATTTGTAATAAGTGATTGTAGCCCCTCGTGACACATCGTGTGACTTCGAAAATGGACCATTCTATGGACCTTTGCAGAAAGAGCTCTCTGGCCGACGCCATTCTGCGATTCGAGCGACCCCTATAAGCCAGAAATTTCTGTCACCCGGCTGAGCTGTGGAAACCCGGTCAGCGCGTCTCCCCCCTGCATTGTGGATTGGAGTTCGCTGGCTTTTCTTGAATGTTTTTACTTTATTTCCCTATTCAGGATGCTTACTCTTTGTGTGTATCTCACACTATGAGAACCAGGGAATACCAGGCCTCGTAACCTGCTCGGCCTTCGCAGGAAACGAACGAAGAAAGCGAGCGTCAATTAGCCAGCGACGGGGGCCGTTCGACATTCTTCGAAGATTATTTACGTTGAGATAATCTCTGAAAAGCCTTCCCGTCTGTGTTCCGAGTTTTCGCGATCCGAGTTTTCGCGAAAAATAGCTGATAGGGTCGGGTCTGGGGTGTGGGGACGGAATACACACGTTCGTTCATTTGCTTTGGTGCTGTGCAAACGAAGCAGCATTCTTGAAAACGTCCCCTATTACAAGCCGGACTCCGTCCGTTCGTCCTGAAGTGACTGTCATGGACACTCTATATTGGATATGCTGTGTTATTTGAGACCTTCCTCAAATCCTGTGCTTCGGATAACGCGGTGCCGTGGGGTACGTACAATATATGTTGTTCGGTTGATGAGACTCGTTGAATTTTATCTTGTGTGCGTGGAATGCCCATACTATTAGGCTATTATTTGTGGTCAAATATTTTCGATAGTTAAGACCTTTGTAGGTTGACACGGTTGAGTGTATGGTGCCTTAAAAGATCAACATAAAAGAAAAACAACAAAAAAAAAAACAGATTCCTGTTGCATTTGTTTTGTCACGGGCGGACTCACCAAAACAGCTTTCATTTCTTTGTTTTTGTTTCCAAAAATTGTACAATGCGTTCTTAAAACCCTCGAGAAATTCTATTCGCCATGGAACACGAAAGAAAAGATAAAACGCGGCGATTTAGCCGCCACCAGCGTCTGGGAGTGCGCCTAAACAGGCTGCCACTGCAAACTGACGAGAAAACCCACAGCCTAGCGCAGTCGGGCAACACTGACGTGCACTCCCAAAACCAGGGAAGCGCGCTGTAAATCGCTTCGTTCGAGACTGCCGCTGGATAGGTCTATAAAAAAATAGAAGGATAGTTTTATAATTTTGTTTTTCTTTCTCGTGTTTTGTTCAAACTACGCGAGATTGGAATGTATACCAAAGGAAGAAGTTATTACTGTTGCCGATGATGCTTGTTTAGGGTATATGTAAAAAAAACATATTCAAGTAAAACATGTTTTTTTTTCGCTTGTTATATGCGTGTATTCTTTGTTTCAAAGTATGCATCCCCTGCCAAATGGCGCTACAGGTATGGATGAATAAACATATAGTCACCTGTCTGTCAAAGATATTAATGAAAGCACCCGCGTCGGACACAAAGGGATCCTTCATGCCACTTATTAGTAGGAAGTTGTCGTTGATAATGTGAGTTGCAGTAGGAAAAACCTTCCACTGAACATATTCCAGGTTGAAGGGTCCAATTGCTACATCCGC